AAAGGGTGTACTGAGTGGCTCCCCTTCTGGGAAAAAAATTACTGGGAAGTGAATAGAGCTCCTGTTTGGCAAAAAGAGAAATGGTAAGAAATTCTTGCTATAGCAAAGAAAGGGAATTTTTTAGTCGGATGGGTAGCCTCTCACCAGGAAAATGAAACTCCAGCTAGCCGCTGGAGCAACAAAGTAGATGAACTGGCCAGATTAGCCCCTCTAAGTGTAAAAACTCCCACAGAGAACTGGGACAAACTGTTAGAGTGGTTGCATTTAAAGAGACAGCACACAGGAGCACAAGACCTATACAGAGAAGCAGGAAGCAGGGGATGGCCAGTAACTCGAGAGATGTGCCACACCTGCATATCCTCATGTGAACAGTGCAGAACCCGACTCGAGCGTCACCCCTTACATATCAGAGACAGAAAAGGGCTGTGGGACACATGGCAGATAGATTATATTGGACCCTTTCGAAAGTCTGAGGGAAAACAGTATGTTAGTAGGAGTGGAAGTTAGGTCAGGATTAGTGCAAGCAGAAGCTTTTCCTCGGGCAACCAGTACAAACGCTCTAGAAGCTCTGAAAATGTGGTTCAGTTTTTTCCCAAAACCTGTATCTATCCAATCAGACAACGGGTCACACTTCACAGCTGCCATTGTCCAGGAGTGGGCCAAGGAAGAAGGAATCCAGTGGATATTTCACACACCATATTATCCACAAGCAAATGGCATAGTGGAAAGAACAAATGGCCTGCTTAAACGATTTCTAAAACCTCAGAAATCCAATTGGACTGAACAACTACGGAATGCTGTAAAAATGGTGAATGACAGATGGGGAGTAAATGGCTGTCCCAGACTCACAACTTTTTATCCACAACCTCCCTCTCTGATACCAGCAACATCAAAGCCTGAGAGTAATCAAAAACCCTCTCACCTTCCTGGACAACCTGTATTAGTGGAACTACCTTCTGTAGGAGCTGTACCAATGGTACTTGCCACTCCCTTGAACATATACACCTGGAAAGCAAAAGATGCTTATGGCAAAGAACACAAAATAAGCTCTCGGTGAATTGTTCCTACATTTTAATGTTGGGTCTAAAAGGGGTCGGACAGACCTTTTTCTTTTCTTTTACAGGTAACTGTTCAACGGAGAAAAGTATTCAGAACTGTGAATGAATAACAGATTTGGACTATGGTTCGGTTTACTGGTAACTGTAGTTATAATTTGTTAGCTATGCTTGTATGGTTATTTACCTTGTACATGTGCTCAGCAGAACAGACTGTAAAAAGTGAAAATCAAAAGAACCTTGCCTGGGAACTAGTCAAAGGGTTTGCGAAAATATGGAATCATACCGATCAAGGTATATGTGTAACTTTACCCGAGTCTGCTGAACAAGGATTGCGATTTTTTATGGTACCATTGAATTTATCTTTTGTTTTTAACATGGCTAGTGTGACAGCCCCATTACCCCTACCTGAAAAGTGGACAAACAAGACCAACAAAGACCAAATACTCTGGAAAGGTATTCCTATAGTGCATGGCCTTTACCAAACTTACACCCCACCTCCTAATATGACTCAGGACTGGATGTCACACTGCAAATATTGTAAAACTATACATCCAAAAGTAAATGTAACCATCTTATCTCAAATTGAATCCCCTCACCCATCTGTTAGATCAAGTAAAGGTGAATTTAAACCTGGAATGATAACCTTTGGGGAATATAATGATAGACAACCCTGCCTTATTTACTCATGGGACCCACTCTTTGACCCATTATACACACCAGATGTATAAGAAAGTAAATATGCCACAGTTTTTAGTCCTTCCTGATGTGTACAACTTCCTAATATAACAAATATAACTCCAATTAACCAGAAAAACTTAATGTGGGCATGGTCTGTACAAGCATTTTTTGAATCCAAATTTACAGAACCCAAATGTACCGTGCCTCAAGTAGAAGATAGTCCTTTATTCAATTGCTCAAAGGTTATAACATGCAAAGAAGGACCAGGAGATCCTCCAGAAACGTGGTTTTCACTTAGAATTAGAACATTGATAAGAGACGTGTACTTGTTGGAGATGCCCCTCTAAAGGCTGGAGAAATCAGGATGAATCCTGTAACTCAACCTACAAATACCTTCTTAATCCCTGCGGAGTTCCCTATACCCACTACCCAATCCACAGTACCCCAATAAATACTAAACCAAAGATCACCATCCTTGATCATGCAGACAATACTGATTGTAAAACTGCAAAATATATAGCCCTTCTGGGAATGGCTTGGGGGTGCTCTGATGGAAAGTTTTATTCACATTTGTCATTAGAGCAACATGCTGGACTTAGGTGTGGACCTGGAATTCCCTCTCTTTGCCCTAGATGTGTCTTTACTTTCACTAAAGTGTCTAAAGAACGTCATTATCACAGTGTTATTCCCTCTTCAAAAGCAACACAAAGACCAGAATGGGCAATTAAAGGAATTGATTTTCCAGATTATTACACCACCGGACAAAAAGCATCCCTTTTTCTTGAGAATTTCTTTAACCCCTATGTCACTTTAAAAAGATATCAATTTATATTAGAAGATATTACCTGGCAATTAAGTGTTTTAAGCAATTGGACACAACATGCATTTGGAGAATTAAACACTTGAGTCCAGCAAACTACTAAGATGACATTGCAAAATAGATTAGCATTAGATATGTGACTGTTAAAAGAACAAGGTGTTTGTGGAATGTTAAATTTATCAGAAACCGAATGCTGTGTAACAATTTATAATGCTTCGACCTCCATTGAGGAGGCACGAACAACGAGAGAGATAAGTAACCACGCTAGAAATTTGTTTTATGCAATGCAACCGCAAGAAGTGTTAGATGGATCATGGGTTACCAACATCCTAGAGTCCTTTGGACTCACCGGATGGGGAAAATGGATAGCACAAATTGGAATAGCAGTTGTCATTGGAATTTTGTTCCTAATTATTGGCATTGGACTAGTTAAATGCATGATAAACCACTTGCTCATTTCCTTCTCTCCCTCTGTTTGCTATATTCATATTACCACCACTGAAGAAAATTACATCGATGTGCCGAGACACAATGTCAAATCACGGGGTGGCATGTAACAGACAGATAACATAGAAATGCCAAAAAATAATGTTTCACGATTGTTTCTGCCTGTCAAAAAACTTCCTACCAAAAATTTTTTGACAGCTTTCTACCAGAAGTTCTCACCAGAGCTTCCTGCTGGAGTTTTCCTGCCAAAAGATCCTGTTATTGTTCATGGTTATCATATCTCTTTGAACATCTGAATAGGGCTACATGCCAAGAAATCACATACAACCTCCTTTGAACACTATAAAAGTTGAGGAAAAATTTGAGAAAGGTAGGGAAAGAGGAGTGGGAAAGACAATTGGCTACTGCAGCCAAGAGTCTCTCCCCACCTCACCCTCACCTTTTCTCCTGCCACCATATGCTGCCTGCCTGCCACCGGAGAACTGGAAGTCTTCCGGCCTGGAGAGGACTGAGACCCACCATGCAACATGCGTGAGTTATATCTACCCTTACCATAGTTCTGAGGGCTGAAAGGAGTAGTTGAACGGGACCCTGCACGGCCTGGGATACAGCTCGGCGTAAGCAGTGAAACCCACATCCTGGCTGCATTCCAGAGAGCTAAAGCTGTTAAGACACCCCCACGCATGCCCCCCCACCCCCACCCCCTGCAGTTAAAGAGATAACATAGGAAAAAGCAGGAGAGACAGAGAAAAAAAAAAGGCAGAAAACTGCTTCTCCCCCCCCACACACATACAGATCAGCTCGGTGAAAGGTAGTTTTTGGTGGTATCTTTTCTCTGCTTCTAGAAGTAATGTTAGCATTTTCCACCTTTTCTTTTTTTTTCCTCTTTCTCTTTGCATCTCTTAGTAATTAATAAAATCAGTTTTGGTATCAACAGATAACTTGTATGAGTTTTAATTTTACTCAAGGGAATATTCAAATCTGAAGTTCTTTCTGCAACATTTGAGCAGATTGTAACACCAGGGAAGTGGTCACAGCACCAAGCTTGCAAGAGTTCAAGAAGTGTTTGGACAACTCTCTCGGGCATATTATGTGATTCTTGGGGCTGTCCAGTGCAGAGCCGGGAGTTGGACTTCAATGATCCTTGTGGGTCCCTTCCAACTCAGGATATTCTATGATTCTATGAACTGACTGCAATCCCCCATTCTCCATCCCCCTGTGCCGCTGTGGGGAGGAGGTAGAGTGGAGGGAGTGAAGTTGAGCCCAGGAAGAAAGGAGGGGTGAGGGGAAGGTGTTTAAAGATTTGGTTTATCCTCATTATCCTACTTTGATTAGATTAGTAATAAATTCAATAATTTCCCCAGTTGAGTCTGTTTTGTCCGTGATGGTAATCAGTGAGTGATCTCTCCCTGTCCTTATTTCAACATATGAGCCTTTCATTATATTTTCTCTCCCCAGTCTAGGTGAGGACAGGAGTGTCAGAGTGGCTTTGATGGACACCTGGCATCCAACCAGTGTCAACTTGTCGTGGTGGGACATCAGTCATGAGTTAGAATGATGGTCTTTCAGAAATCAGTGTGCACATGATTTACTGAAAAAAATTTCAACATTTTTTCTGTCTTTCTATACAGTACAAAAAAGTTTTTCTAACAAATAAATGAAGCTTCAATTCTGTGAACACAGACATACAATACTTTTTCCACACACAGAGCTACTACTTTGTTAGGAGTACACATGAGAATCACATTATCTACAATGTTCAAATGTAGAACAAGGGAGAACTACTTACCTCTGCAGAGGAAAGAATTAAACAGGAGTAGATTACTATGAAAACATTTATATTATTTCCTTAAAATTTTTAGTTAGAAACATTTTAAATAGCTGCAATGTTTTAATATTCATGGCACTCCTCTAAACTTCTGTTATAAAACCATTTTTTTGTTACACATCAGCTAGTTTTTATATAAGACAAGGTTTCAAGCTGGGAATATACTTACATAGACTCAATATCTTTTTCTTTTTTCATTATTCCTGAAAAACCAAAAGGTTTCCTCTTTCGTGGTTTTATCCCTGTGAAACAAACACTTTTCATTTAAAGATCAAAGAAATGAGTATATATGTCAATGTCAGACACTGGTGCATACCAATGCCAATACCTTTTAAATGCCGCCATGACAAGTGATACAAAAATCTAACAGTGGAGGTAGGTATGGAGCTAAACTAAATGAACAGAAGAATAAACTAAGGGAACATTATTCCAATATGTTGTTCAGTAACATAATGTGCCACTTTGGGATGGGACAGAGTTATTTTCTTCACAGTAGCTTGTATGGGGCTGTGTTTTGGATTTGTGCTGAGAACAGCGTTGATAACACAGGGATGTTTTCGTTATTGCTGAGCAGTGCTGACACAGAGTTAAGGCCTTTTCTGCTACTCACACCACTCTACCAGTGAGTAGGCTGGGGGTGCACGAGAATATGGGAGGGGACACAGTGGGGACAACTGACCCCAACTGATCAAAGAGATATTTCAGACCATATGACATCATGCTCAGTATATAAAGCTGGGGGAAGGAGGAGGTAGGGGGGACGTTAAGAGTGATGGTGTTTGTCTTCTCACTGTTATGCATGATGGGACCCTGCTTTCCTGGAGATGGCTGAACACTTTCCTGCCCATGGGAAGTGGTAAATTAATTCCTTGGTTTGCTTTGCTTGTGCACGTGACTTTTGCTTTCCCTATTAAACTATCTTGATCTCAACCCACAAGTTTTCTCACTTTTACCCTTCTGATTCCCTCCCCGATCCCACTGGAGGAGAGACAGCAAGCGGCTGTGTGGGGCTGAGTTGCCTACCAAAAACACATCAGCTTCATAAAAAAAAAAAAAGATATGGTTCACACAACACATTAATAACATAAACTTTTATAAAACTCATCTCTGTTTTACATCCAACTCTCCAAGCTGGGTATGCTAGACTGTCACTTATTTTATAGAAGATGGGTGCGCTGCCAGATTTGAGGAAAGGGACTCTGCTCACAGAAACTCAACAGGAGCTATTGATCCAGACAATCTTGAATAGCCAATGCACTTAGAAACTGAACTCAACTACTGCAGTTCAGTACCCTGTTCTTATTTCCCTGCATGTTCCTGATACCTGTAAGCCCCTGTCTATCCTAAAAAGTAGCATCTTGGTCCTGTAAAAACTAACGTCTCTTGGCTTCCCAGCTGATGCTGACTTCATGATTTCCCAATGCTGTAGCCAGCTCTAATGCTGTCTCCCTCTGAGTCTAGAACCACGGCTTCTCTTTGTCTTTTCTTCCCTGGTTTTAGCACTGGATATATATAGCTTCAGTAAAGAAAAAAGTTTGCTTTCATACCCATTTAATGCACTAAAATACATTTAAATATTCCATCAGACTTACTGCCATGTCTGATTCTTTCCCCATTTTTTGCTGAATCAAAGTAGACTGCCAAACTTGAAACAAAATGACCAAGTGCAAGCATCTGATCCAACTAGTCTACAGTTTTATTTTGATGTAAGATACTACCTACAGCAAGACTTTAGGTAAAATGGTGGAAATAATTTGGTTTCTATAATTTAACAACTGACAATTTGAGCACATCATTAAAAAAACCCTCAGTATTCCCATTTACAGAAATACATTACACAGAACATAAGGAATCTCTTTACTTTTAGAAATATTCAGGGTGAAATTAATCAAAACTTCTCACAAATCAGGTAGCTATAAACTCAGCCATATCTTATAATTTAATAGAGACAGAAATAGCTTCAAAATTATTTTTAAATGCTAGCCCGGGATTTAGTTCCTTTCTGTGCTTTATCCAGACCAAAACAATGACAAATGGAATGTGAGAGTAGTTTCTTAACATGTATCGCCTTTGCTTCAGTCAGAAGGCTTATCATAGAATCCCAGAATGGTTTGGGTTGGAAGGGACCTTAAAGATCATCTAGTTCCAACCCTCCTGCCATGGGCAGGGGCACCTTCCACTAGACCAGGTTGCACCAAACCCCATCCAACCTGGCCTTGAACACTTCCAGGGATGGGGCAGCCACAGCTTTCCTGGGCAACCTGTTTCAGTACCTGACCATTCTCACAGTAAAGAATTACTTCCTCATAGCTAATCTAAACCTACCTGCATAAAGTATTTTAGGTCTCATTTCCATAGAAGTTTGTTTCTCAAAAGAAAAACAGTTTTTTGGTCTATTGGAATATAGAAATTAAAATGTGAATATTCTTCTCTCCTCAGGTTCAGGTCCTATCCACATGATTCTTAGGTAAATAACTATGCTACAGCAACTCACCTTCAACTGCACTGGATGTGTTACATTCCTCAAATTCAATAGGACCTTAAAGAAATAAAAACAAAGATAAATATTAGGTTGAATTTAATCTCAAATGAAGGTTAAACCCTAAGATATTTTAACAACTATTAATATTTTCTGAAAATACTAAACAATATAAATAAAAATTTAGGTGGCAGCTGAAAACCACAATTTCTCTGCCAATGGTCAGACTGCAAAATCATACATGTACAGTGAATCATTAAATATTTTCACTCTTTCATACTGAAAAAATTAAAATACTAGTGCACATTGTCTAAATGCAATTTAATTTCCTATGTTATTATAACCACATGAAAAATTTCTGATTTATTTCCTCTTCTCATTCAAAATTGAATCTATAATATAGTGTAAGGCTTTTAACTTATCTTCTTTTAATGAACAAGAGCTATGTAAAAAAAATCAAAAAGATAAAAGCATGACAGGAAGTATGTGGGAGACTGGTTACCCAGGACATGGAGAAGGCTGAGGTACTGAACAACTTTTTTGCCTTGGTCTTCACAAACAAGTGCTCCAGCCACACTGCCCGAGGCACAGAAGGTGAAGGGCAGGGATTGGAAAAATGAAGAACTACTAGCTGTAGGAGAAGACCAGGTCTGAGACCCACAGTTGGACTTGATGATCTCAAAAGTCTTTTCCAACCTTAACAATTCTGATTCTATGAAAAACAGTGTGGCCAGTAGGTTGAGGGAAGTGATTCTTCCCCTCTACTCTGCTCTGGTGAGACCCCAACTGGTTTACTGCATCCAGTTCTGGGGCCCCCAACACAAGAAAGATGTAGACCTGTTAGAGCGAGTCCAGAGGAGGTCCAGGATGATCAGAGAGCTGGATTACCTCTCCTATGAAGATAGGCTGAGAGAGTTGGGCCTGTTCAACCTGAAGAAGAGAAGGCTCCGGGGAGACCTTAGAGCAGCCTTCCAGTACTTAAAGAAGGCCTACAAGAAGGCTGGAGAGGAACTTTTTGCAAGGGCATGTAGTGATAGGACAAGGGGGAACGGCTTTAAACTGAAAGAGGATAGGTTTAGACTGGATATTAGGAAGAAATTCTTTACTGTGAGGGTGGAGAGGCACTGGCTGGAACAGGTTGCCCAGAGAAGTTGAGGGGGCCCTGAGCAATCTAGTCTAGTGGAAGGTGTCCCTGCCCATGGCAGGAGGGTTGAAACTGGATGAGCTTTAAGGTTCCTTCCAACCCAAACCATTCTGTGATTATATCATTCTATAACTATAGCCCTAATTTTGAGATTCATGTTTTTTCTAACTGTTTCCTCTTCATAGCCAATTATCTGGACAGCTAAAAATTATGTGCAGAATTCTAAACATAGCAATAAAGAAGATAAAAAGCTTTTAAAAAATCTTTAAGACTACACAGGACAAAAAAGCTGAGAGCACTGGTTAAGTGCCCTATCTAAATAAATTTGAGATGAACTCAATCCCTTAACTGAACTAGGAGTAGTTTGGTACAGGCTCCAAAGGACAGAAAAACCTGAGCTGTAGACAGGCCAAGAGTTTCTCTAGTTCCAATCCATTCTCTGAAAACCCACAAAGGGGCAGAGTGACCCAGTGCGCATCAATGCATACAAGCTTGGAACACCAATCATGCAATGAACACATGAATAGCAGGTGGTTTTTCCAAGACTCATTTATCAAGGAACAAAGAAAATTGTGTGTACAAGGAGTCTCATGCATACCTTTCCCATTGTATGCAATTTGACTACAAGCCAACCACTTTATTCCATAAATATGACAGGCTAAGTGAGCCTTCTTTGAGCTCTCCCTGCTAAGCATCTGGCTGCATGGCAGTGATCTCCCCTTGAGCTGGGATGCCTCTCAAGGTTGCTCCTCGAGGTCAAGAGATCTCTTACCAAGTACAGATCTTTGGTAAGTGACTGATATTGCTTATAACATCATAATATAGACTAAGATTTTGTCTTGGTAACTTTGATTCTGCCTTGGTAGTTTTGAATCACTGTTATATCCTTTGTGCAGTACACTAATAGAGTGAACCTTGCCGTCAAACTTTGTCGCACTTTTATATTTCAATAAAACTACTTTTGCCAATACTTTAGGCTGTGGTTCTTTAAGTGGTCTAAATTGCCCATTAATGACAAATTGGAGTAGTTAGGAGAATCCTAAATCAGAATTCGTGGCAAGTTGAGACAAGGTAAGTCAGTTGTCATTGCAAAGGGCAATTCTAACCCTCATTAGAACCATAGAATTGTTAAGGTTTGAAAAGACCTTGAAGATCATCAAGTCCTACTGTTAACCCAGCACTGCCAAGCCCATCACTAAACCACGTCCTCAAGTGCCACATCTACATGCTTTTTGAACACTTCCAGGGATGGTGAATCCACCACTGCCCTGGGCAGCCTGTTCCAATGATTGACCACTCTTTCCATGAAGAAATTTTTCCTAATATCCAATCTAAACCTCTCCTGGTGCAACTTGAGGCCATTTCCTCTTGTCCTGTTACTTGTTACCTGGGAGAAGAAACTGCCTCCCACCTGGCTACAACCTCCTTTCAGGTAGTTGTAGAGAGTGATAAGGTGCACCCTCAGCCTCCTTTTCTCCACACTAAGCAACCCCAGTTCCCTCAGTCATTCCTCATCAGACTTGTGCTCCGTACCCTTTAACAACTTTGTTGCCCTTCTCTGGACACACTCCAGCACCTCAGTGTCTTTCTTGTCATGAGGGGTCCAAAACTGAACCCAGGATTTGAGGTTCAGCCTCACCAGTGCCAAGTACAGGGGAACAATCACCACCCTGGTCCTGCTGGCCACACTGTTGCTGATACAAGCCAAGTTTAGCATCTTTGCACTGTGACATAGGGGTTATTACTTATCTTTCTGTAATGATTTTGATGGAATATACAAAAGTTTATATATGCATATGTTAAAGATAATAATAATAATAATAATAATAATGGCCAGTCTTCGCGAACAAAGATCTGGGGAAAGGTCTTTTACCTTTCCAGCCTGCGCAATGGATTTTTTAGGTGAGACACAGCATGCGCTGAACTGAGCCCACCCTTTAATCCTAAGGTTCATCTGCCGGGGCCAAGCAAGCTTGGACAATGGCAGTGAGGTCCTCAGGACGTAGGTTTGTTTAGAGTGACCTTCTCATAGATGGATGGCCTCACAGGGCTAACGGGTTCCATCTGCCCGGGAGACCGAGGAATCGAACCCGGGTTGCAGCAGTGAGAGTCCTGCATGCTAACCACTAGGCCACCAGGGGTCTCTATGTTAAAGATAAGACAGAGGAAAAAAAAAACCCTACAAAGCTGTTCCCAATTCTATACTCTAAGGTAGCCAAACTTCCCTCCCCCACCATTGCACCTTATGCAACTACTTTAGGTGAGACACTGAAATCTTGAAAATTTAATTACAAGCAACTGGAAGTAAATAGATTGTAGAAACCTCAAATACAGAAACTTCTCAAAATACACATGCTAATAAGTACTTTAATTTATTTACCTTTATTATGAAATTACAATTATTCTAGAGCATACACCATAAAATAAAAGGTGTACTTGCAAGCATTTTCCAGTGTTTTCACTTGAACTTTTTCAGTCTTAAAATAAGTAGCTGATATAAACAGATTTTAGACACAAGCTTCAGATGTTTTTAAGTAGTAGAACATAGCAAATCATTGGACATGCCACAGTGAAATTAAAAAGTAATTTAGCTGTGAATTAACATTGTGAATTGCACAACTGGGAGTAACTGCATGAAATAAGTACCTCATATGGTTCTATTTGTAATGTAACTCCTAACGTATATTTAACTCTTACAGTGTAAATCTGTGTTTAATTCAGTATAACCACTATATTTTTATAGAATTTCTCAAACTTCAAATGAAAAAAATTATTCTTTTGTCAAAAAAATAGAAAGACAATTGAGAATCTGATGATGTCACTTGATGTTCGCTAATGCTAAACAAATTTAATTATTTTAGACATTAGATAAAATCTACCAAATATTTTCTCTAAAAATTTGCAGAGATGTCATAATTTTTTTTTATAAAAAAGGTGTGCTCAAAGTTATTACTTGTATTTATTGTAATTAAGACCAAGTCTGCAAAATTTTCCCTGCCAGTAAAAAAACCTGGGAGTAGAATTTCATCAAACATCATAATGTAATTGTTTAGCTTCCAAATGAAGCTCTTGAGGGCAGAATATCAAAAGGCCAATCTCAAAGCAGTCTTAAATGCCATTTAAGTTTCTTTACCCTTCCCAGCTATTAAGACTGATATTCAGACTTTTAAGACTCTCACACTAATGATTAAAATATATAAATATTCCAGGCTCAAGTAAAACCAATCCTTATTTCAAATCTCTATCTTCAATCTTCACTTCTATCATAATAATATATAATGGCCAGTCTTCACGAACGAAGATTTGGGGAAAGGTCTTTTACCTTTCAAGCCTGCGCAATGGATTTTTTAAGTGAGACACAGCATGTGCTGAACTGAGCCCACCCTTTAATCCTAAGGTTCATCTGCCGGGGCCAAGCAAGCTTGGACAATGGCAGTGAGGTCCTCAGGACGTAGGTTTGTTTAGAGTGACCTTCTCATAGATGGATGGCCTTACAGGGCTAACGAGTTCCATCTGCCCGGGGGACCGAGGAATCGAACCTGGGTCGCAGCAGTGAGAGTCCTGCATGCTAACCACTAGGCCACCAGGGGTCCCACTTCTATCAGAAGATTTTTTTAACAACACAAAGTTTCTGTATTTTGTCCATTACAGTTGCCTAACACTTGTCTTTGAGAGTGTTTTATTTACAACTTGGTAAGAGACAAATACTCATGCTTAGTACTGAAACACACACAGATATGATGATCAGATTAGTAATTTTAATTTGATTTAATAGAGGCCAGCTTTCCCCCCAAAACTTCACCTTACTCTTGCAACATTGTATTCTTTTCTCATTGAGAAGACTATAAAACACAATCTGAAAAACTCTCAGTTACTGAAGAACTGGCAGAGATAGTAATGAGATGGAAGCTATGCA